TCAGTAGCGTACGCCTAACGGGGTGCTCCTCGGCGTACACATGCTACAATTTCTCCGCACCGGTCTCCTGTTCCGTCCTGACTCAGTTTCCCCCCGAAGGCACGGGTAACCGCCGTGATTCGGGGGCGGAGAAAGTCCGCAGTAGCGTACACCTAACGGGGTGCTCCTCGGTGTACAATGCCTACTGCAAATTCACGCATCACGAGGCGCCGCTCGGGCGTGATCCTGTCCTAACCTGATCCCTTCCTGTTTCCTGACCGGTATAGCATTCAGGGGGGTAATATTCGGGTGGGAAATAATATTCTCCGTTAGCTCTAATAGTAAGCTCCGTAGTATTAATTCCGTATTATTTCTTCCCTTGCAGAGTAAAGGGGTCCGTGCAGTCATCCTGACTGACTGTTTCCAGTTACCAGTGTAATTCCGTATTTTCCGTGCTCCGTCATAGATCCGTCTTATACTTTGAGTTATCCATACTCCGTTACAATCCGTACCGTACTTATTGTTTTCCGCGTGATTCCGTACTTTCCGTACTCCGATTACATTGTACTGTTTATTTCCGTGTTCCGATCAAACTCCGTCTTGTATCCATTTATTTCCGTATTCCGTTATAAATCCGTAGCGTACTTATTATATTCCGGATCAATTCCATACTTTCCGTACTCTGTAGTGAATCCATATTGTATTTACTCACTTTCGTACTCCGATCAAGATCCATATCGTAATTATTATTTCCGTATTCCGATTGATTCCGACTAACCATATCCTGTTTTTCTCTGTATTTAACCACAGGGCGAACTCACTGTAATCTTAATCCTTTTTCTTTCCTTTATATTTTTATTCTAGGGCGGACCTATTGTAATTACCACACTATCCACTGTATTCATTCCCGAATAAACCTTGTTCATAGTTTGTAACCTTTAAACACCTGTCCGACTTATTTTCCGATTCCCCCAAGCGATTACCTTCACTAAGTAATTAAGATCTTGTCCTCCTTTCCTCCCGACGGCCCCGGGAGCTGAGCATATTCGGCAAATAGGAGGAACGGAGGATCCCTTTTTCCCGTTACACAGCACGTCAAAACACCGACCGAGGCGACGCTCGCTTTCCCGACCGATAAATTAAAACCGCGCGTCTGATTGTGACGCGAAGCATAAGCGGATTGTCGGAATCCCGTCCGACAATCCGGAGTCCAGAACCGGGAAGAAGCGGAAAGCGTGGCGCATCGTTACAACGTCGTAGTACATGAGATACGTCGACGCTTGTAACGGATCGTACGACGCAAGATACTTATTGTTAGCTCGCGCGTATCTGTGGGAGCACTGACTCAGACCACCGCGTACACCGCGTTCCACAAATAGGAGCATATCGACGTCGGTCAGCAGTTCGAATCGCACACCTGTGTATTTTAGCATCGCGTCCCACGTGTACCCCGGTAACGTGTAATAATGAGCGGGATCCAAATCGTAACTCCGCATGCAGTTGTCGCGAAAATTCTCAAACACATCCGCCAACAATAGAACGTCCGTTTTCAAATATAAGTCACTACACTCGCCGAGATTACCGATGCGGAAACGTTGCCACACAGTGACCGCGTGCTCGTAGTCGGTAACGCTGACGCTCTCGCCAGTCAACGAACTGTAAAAGGCCTCGCGGGGCGGTAATTCTGTCTCGCGTAACCGATCGACGCTATCGACATACGCGTACGGGAACACACCCTTGCGCGTGAGCACTTCGAAATCGTCGTCGTCGAGACTCGAGAACGCTGACCGCGTTATTCGCAGTTCGTTCTTGTCCAGATACGACACCAATTTCGCGAGGCTTGCGCTTAAAAACTTACACGAGTCTACAAATCGCAGCTTCACGCAATGACGCCCCCTTCCCGACGATGTCTGCCGAACGACTTTCGTAAACGAGATGTACGTTTCTTTGGTCAACGGTAACAATTCCACTTTACCCTCGAAACCGTTGGCGATCTCTTCGATAATGAAATGCGCATCGTAATCCGAGAGATTGTGAAAGAACACCGGAATTACGAAGGAATTGTTGAAGTTTATATTGCAACGCGCATGAGCCGGACCCCTGTAACGTCCGGTTATGTGACAGTGATCGCGAACGCGCTGATCACTCGGCTCGAATGGCTCTCCGCATATGTGGCAACGATTCGCGTTCCAAAAGCTACGCATCTCATCTGACGTAAGCGACGTCATAGTCACGACCGCGCTCAGAGTCTGCTTCGCGCGATGCGCGAGGACGTTCAATTCCCGCGCGAACCACGCCATGCAATCCTCACCGCGATACGATTTGTACGTCGTCGCATCCTCGTCTCGCACACATCGCACGTAATAGCCAACGCTGAACGCTATGACGTTGATAGGCAAATCTGCTTCGTGATACACACTCACTCTCCTCTCGCTCCTTCTCCAAGGCGCACTCCAGATCGGCGTATACCACGTACGGAAGTCTCTCTTTTCGCTCGTAGTGACGAAAGCTGAGCCACCTGTTGTCCTCGTTCGGAAGAACGATCGCGCAGTCACTCATCCTTTCGCAATCTACATTGTGCATGGACAATCTTTCCATCGAGTGGAAATAATGCAGACATCTGGAAGTAATTTGATTATTATTATTAGTCTGCACTTCACATGTACTATCTCTCTCTCTCCCTCGTAATACTTACCGATCACAAATGTACTTCTTGTTTTTTCGTTTGATAAACTGACTCCCGACCAATCGCGAAAGATTCCTTATCCATGCAAGATGGCCCACCTGCAAGCCGTATCGCGGATCCGACAGATAGAACAGATTTACGTGAACATCTCTTTTGCGTTCGGTGAGATACAGCGGAACGATCTTTCCATCCGGTTTGTCCTCCCTCGTGGTAAACACGTTGACGGATATCTCGTTCAGTCGTTCGAATTTTCCGATTTGTCGCAGATTCATAGGAAAGTTTATTCCATCGAGCCTCAGCACCGTTTGATAATCGGGATACCGATTCCTTCTCGTGGCATTCGTCATGACAGGATACAAAGCCGCAACCACCGCCCGCGCGAAACATGCGTTATCCGTCGATCGTGTTAAGATATCACGCCTTTTAATATGTAATCTGCGTTACCGAGGAATGTCAGTGTACGATGGAATAGGAAGGTAACGGGAACAGTCGATCATGAATCAATATCGATCAGCGCGCGACATCGTGTGTCAACTTAGAAGACTACTTTAGTTTAGCCCTCGCTACCGTTTCCGTCTCCGCGCGCACTCGCATTCCACTCGCGTAGCTGAGAGCTGTGTTCGTTCGACACGTGTATAAGTAATAAAGTGTTACACGAATAAAGATATTTGAAAGTATTTCTGCAACAGGTTATGGGCCCAGGACGTGGTACTGTAACGTAACGATTCTCTATGGACGGACAAAGTTCTGATAGTGACACGTCTGTGCTAAGTTCTAGTGACAGTGAAGAGAAAGTATTCACAAGTGGCAGTGAACGAGCAAGCATGGCAGAAATTAAGACGTATCACCTACACAGATTCAACGGCCAGAATTATCAACTCTGGAAGAGACAGATGGAAATATACATGACGGAGAACAAGCTCAAGCCATACATTCTCGGTACGGTGGAACGCCCTTTGAACAATTATACGCAGTGGGATGAAAAGGACGCAGAAGCGCAAGCATTTCTTATGCGCGGTCTGGAGCTGGAACAACTGAAATACTTATCAGACTGCACGACTGCTGCCAAAATGTGGGCAAGGTTGAGAGCTGTGCATGCCGAAAAGAGTGATCAATCTGTACAAGTACTTCTCGACCGTTTCATAAATTCAAAAATGGAGGAAAACGAGAAGATGGCAGATTTCATAGCCAGAATTACGTCATTAGCACAACGACTCAAGGACATGGATCTGGAGCAGAAAGAGCCGGTAATAATTGCCAAGATTATGGGAAGCCTGCCGTCAAAATTTGATAATGTGAGGACTGCATGGTACGCTGTTCCCAGAGCTGAACAAAATATAGAAAAGCTCACGGATCATCTGGTTAACGAGGAGACTCTTTTGAACGCGCGCATAACTGAAAGTGAAGGTCAGACGTCAGAAGCGTATTATATGAAAGGCAAGAGACATCATAACAAACATGTGTCGAATTCAAGCCGAGAAAACGTTCAAAACAAGGATCAACCGACGAGACGACCAGGCAAGTGTAATTACTGTGGAATTCCGGGACATTGGGCACGTGAATGTCGCAAGAAGCAGAGGGAAAACAAACAATCACTCGTAGCACAA